AAAGGCATTAGAAGACTGGTTGAGTCACATAGAAAAATTGGCGCACTATTCGGTACATGGACGGAAGCAAACAATATTTGCGTAAATGCGATTCGGAGCTACAATTATATCTCTGAGAATGAGGTTGGGTACGTTGGATTCCCTGTCCAGGTCTCACCAATACCTTTGCAATCATCATCGTCGCAGCCTGGACCTGAAATAAGAATTAATGCATGTAATGACACAGAGGTGAATGAGCCCGCCCATACGCCAAGCCGACGACTTGGAGCCCAGAACACCCTTGCTAATTTGGATTCGTCATCATCGGTGCAAAGGCCTTTGCCGCAAGTCATTGCCATTGCGAGAGAGAGGTACGCATCTGGGGAGGGTGCTAACAATGCTCGTGGTGCATTGATTGCTTTAAAAGTAAGGAAAAACGGGTCACAAACAGTCCGTGGTCAGGCACGGGAACTGGACAGTCATGTGCCAAGCAATTGCGCCAACATCGCAATCGCCGGCGATGTGATCACTGCTAACGGAAGTACAGATTCTGTTGATGAGACCGAAACAACGGGTTCCGCAGAATGTTCTGTTGACGAGCGGAACAGTAGAATGCTTCAGTTCATGCTGCACTACCTCGATTTAGTGCATTGCGACGAGATGTTCCTGGCTTTATGCATGGTATTTGATAATCGCTTGCATTCCATGTTTCACATTGTATTGGGAGCATTTAGAGAGAAGTGCAACAACAAGCAGCCCCGTGTACTCTACATGGTTCATATGCTGCTGGACCACTACCATGGCAAGGCATTCGGGGCAAAAGACCGAAAGAAACATGACGAATTGGAGCTACGATTGAAGTCTGCCAGGGAAAATTTCAGCACAGTACGATCATTTTACGGTTTAAAGTCTTATGAAGAGATAGGGTGGACCTTTCCGCTCAAGTGATGAGGTGCTATTCATGAAGTGCCGGCGTGGGTGATCGGAAGTTGGGGGCGTGACGGGAGGGTGGTGGGTGTGTGGGGGGGCTGACGTGGTTGGTAGGACGAAAAGCATGGATGTTCCAAACGGCACGGTTGGGCGGCGGGGCAGTGTTTGTATAGTGTGCACCGCGCAGCTTTTGCGGAGAGGCGCCGGGGAAGCGCGGCAGAGACGAGGGATTGCGGTCGTGGGCGTGGAAGGGGGTGGTTCGGGCGACCGTGTGCGTTTGGGCTATACTCAATTAGTTCCTTCGCAGGTATGCGTTCACATTTCGTTTTCCAAGTTATCTTCCAGAATGGCTGTTCGCTTTTTGACTTCTTCAGCTGCATGTGCAGTCCCATGCTCACTCCGGCGCGCTCCTCTGAGATATACCTTCCCGCGCTCGCGATAGCAAATCCCCGGGCCAACTGTTCCATCGTCAAGAGTTTAGAGTCCCACCTCAAGATCATCCCACATCCCCATCCCCTTAGTGGCAGTCAGCCAGCCCAGATGGGACATCCTATACATTATGTGTAATGCAAGTACCACAAACGCACCTGAGATTTAAAATTTTCAACATAGTGCAAGTTGCTTCACATGATCGTTACAACCAAACATCATCCAATAACTCGGTATGGGCATGTCAGCGGTGACGGCTTCCTGCTCTTCTTATCTTGGGGCAATGTTGGAAAGTAGCTATGAGATGTGCACCTAGCTACTACGAACATAGAAGATTCCGCCACGCGCAAGGAGCGATGCTCGCATCCATGCCGTCGAGTTTGGAACAGTAATGAAAAAGGGGGAAAGAAAGCTGAGGGAATACGCTCAGTCGAGAAACTGTCGGATCGCCATGTTGAATGACGTGGATGGGCTTGTCAAGAAGAATCAGGTGGGGTCCGAGGTCGGACTTGGTGCTGGGATAGTATGTAGGATATGTAAGCACGCTTGTCGTTTTTACGCTGAGATCTGCGGCAGTTGCCCCGACAACTGTGAGGCACGATGTGTATCTCATTTTCGCCGCAAGTTTAGTTATCGCTGCCGACGAGCAGGAAACAGCCCTGTGCTGGTCAGGAGGCACAATACTGTGCTTCCTGAGGATCTTCTCTCTCGCGTGGAAGATTTGGCGGGCGTACAGTCGAGCACCGAAATGTTTTTGCGCAGATACAGAATGTTTTAGCAGTCATGGAGCAGTACTGTGCCAGCAAGGTACAAAAGTACTGTGCCAGCAAGGTACGAAAGAACTGTGCCAGCAAGGTACAAAAGTACTGTGCCAGCAAGGTACAAAAGTACTGTGCCAGCAAGGTACAAAAGTACCGTGCCAGCAAGGTGAATATGAGGCTTGTTCCGGTGTGCAGGTTACTTTTTGTCTTTTGTCTCTTGTCTGACGAGGGGCTGCAGCTGCTGCAGCCATCACCAGACTGCGCTCCGCCACCATCCCACTGCAACACTTCCTACCCATTCTTGCACTGCGCGGCAGCTACGCGCGGGCCGTTCCCCGTGCTTGGAGCCCTCCATGAACTGCAGTGGACCACTGTACTAAATGATGCACGACACCTGGCGATGCATCGCGTGCGACACGCTGCTCATGACGTGTACAGATTCGTCTTCTGTATTACATCCGCTGGGTTTCGCGCGGAATTATTGCTTTTCTATGCCCTCACTAGCCACAGGAGAGCCCTTCGAGTCCACACAAATTATGGTCGCGGTCGAACATGACCATTTTCTCGCTGAAAAGTTTCATGTCTCTGGCAAAGCGCTCCTGGTCCTGTTCAACCAAATGAACGAACCTGTCGAGCCCCCGGGTGTGTTAGAGTCCTTTTCAAACAGTTCAGATAAGACCACTGCCCTAGTAGAAAAATCAAAAGTTTTTGGAGCGTAATTTGAGGGCAATTTGCTTATTGGTGCCATGTACTGTAGAGCACGTGACGCGCACTCACCTTGCCCAATAAAAGCGCAATATGAGTGCACATTGCATGCACACGGAGTGTTGTACACTCCATGTGCATGCCAGCCACCCTGGAATTACCCTCCGATCCGACACCCTAAACAGCATTGGAAACCCCGTTTTGGAACCAGCGTTTCGGGCCTGTACTTATTCTCTTTGCGTCCAATATGTATGTAAATGCAGTGCAATGCGAGCTCGGAGTGCTTCGTAACCGCTCTCATTTACATCGTTCTACTATCTGCATCCCCTGGTAAACCTAACGCAGTGCCACCGCAGTACGTACAGTGAGGGTGTCGGTATGTTGACCGGGGGTGCAGGTGGAGGACGGGATAGACGAAGGGTACATGTGAGGCGGGTCGGGGATGTGAGGGCGTCGGCGGGCGGGGTGCGGACACGTCGGCGCTCTCGCGCAAAGCGACGCTGCCGCCCGAGGCGATGGCGGCGCGCCGCCCGCATCGCGCGGGGCGCTCGAAGACATGCAGCGGCACTCCGACGAGCACCTCGGCAAGCTCGGGCGCAAAGAGACGCGCTGCGCAATGCCGCGCAAGCCCAGCGCTTGCGCGGCATTCAATGGAGACTGAGGCTTTTCCGGCTCTTCCGTGACCGGGGTGTCATCAGGCAACTCGTTACACTCGTCGTCAAATACTTTCGTGACCACCCTTGTAATCAGATAGCCGTCGTTATGTTCCACCACCTCTTCGACCTCACGGCCAATGCGCCTCGGACCGCTCCTGCTCGGTAGTCCAAAGGCCTCACTAAGCTTGCGTTTTATTGGGCTCCCACCAGAAGCAGAACAACCATCCTTGCCGTTCTCCTCCACGTCTTTCAATTGCGGGGATTCCGGCAGGTCGTCCTTCGCGGGAGAGACGTCTTCCTCAACATCGCCCTTTTCATCGTCCCCCTCGTGCATGCCCTTTGTCAGCTCCTCAAGCTCGCGTCGGGCCTCGTCCCGCTCTGCCTCGGCGGCCTCAATCTCCGCGGCCTCCCATTGATTTGCGACGTTGACGTTGTTTAGAAATCTCTTTGCAAGATCAAACTCATTCAGGGAGGAAGAACTCAAAAGCACAAGCTGGGAGGTCGCAAAAAAGAAAACCGCGCGCCCGTTAGACAACCCAAAACAGACGTTGAAGACGGAAAATGTATACTCGGTTGACAAGGATAAATGCGCCCCGACTTAGTCCCATTAACGAATAAGCTTACCTGACTTTCGTCTGAAATGACCAGAGTGACACGCTCTAGAACGGTGACACCCTTCTTTCGTAACCTGGGACGTGTAAGCTGGTGCACCTGTGCAATAAAAACGAGAAAACGCCCAATGTGATATAAGCAAAATTCCTCCAACCTCAATGATGGCAACCCACCTGCGCCAAAACTAAGCCCCTCTGTAACGCACTTGTCATTGTCTCCTCGGAAGAACTCTTTCGCCAGAGGGCTTCTCGGACGGAATGGATGTGTCGTGGCGCCAGTTATAGCCAACTGCACTGACATAAGCCATACCGTTCGCTCGTAGATACGTGAAAAGTGCATGCACCGGGCCGCGCGTAGGGAGCGGTTGGCAGTGGCCGACATGCGAATGTGGGGAAGAAGCGCTTGTGGAGGACGGATATTCTACAGAGAGAGGGGAGGGAAAGAGGATAATGCGTAGGATACAGCTGAGTGTAGGTAGAAGGTGTAACGGGGGCGAGGAAGAGAGGACGCGAGCGGTGGCAGAGGAGGGTGCCTTGGAAACCGGGGATGAAGATGAGGGGATGAAAGATAGGAGACGGGGAAGACGTGGCGGAGGGGGTCGGGCTTGGTTGGAATTTCAACCGAAGCCCAGAGCTCCGAAGCGGCGTTTCCCAAATCCGAAGAAAACCTCTGCGTCTGTGCAAAAAGTTTCGGTGCTTGACTGTACGCCAGCCACATCTTCCAGGCGAGAGGAATGATCCCCAAGAAGCACAGAATCATGCCTCCTGACCAGCACAGGCCTGTGTCCTGCTCGTCGGCAGCGAGAACTAAACTTGCGGCCAAAATGAGATACACATCGTGCCTCACGGTTGTCGGGGCAACTTTCGCAGATCTTAGCGTAAAATTGACAAGCGTGCTTACATATGCAACACACTATCCCAGCACCAGGTCAAAACTCGGGTCCCAGATGATTGTTCTTAATAAGCCTATCCACGTCATTCAACATGGCGATCCGACAGTTGCTCGACTGCGCGTATTCCCGCAGCCTTCTTTCCACCTCTTCCAACACTGCGCCAAGCTCGCCGGCAAGGATGCGAGCACCGCTCCTTGCGCTTGGCGATATTCTCTCTATGCTCGTAGTAGTTAGGTGCGCATCTCGTAGCGACTTGGCCTCATGAGACAGGAGGTATTCGTATGGTACAATCAAAGTGTAGGCCCCTTGGCGAGCACAGAGGGACGCTTGTCGGCCGATTGGGAACCATCCTGGGTTGGCAAAATTCACAGCCTCGGTGATATTGAAACCGCAGTTGAATCCAGCATGATAAGCACGAGGTGCTGTCAATACAAAGGAACCTGGCTTGTGCCGAATACGATGGCATTCAATCCCTCGGCTTTTTAGTTCCCTCAGATCAAAGATGGTTGTCTTGCACATCAAAGATCTCTGTGCAGAAGGCTAGTCCTTGGCCAGCCGATCATTGAAAACATTCTCGGCAGCATATGTCTCGAAGGCCCCTACGTATTTCAGAGGTATAGCGTACCAAATATTGTCAGCGCTTCCGCGGCGAAGGTATGAAACTGAATTCAAAAAGGCATCCTCGGTGTGCCAACAAAATCGCATAAACATGTGAACGAAGTAGAACATTGAGTGGTTCACTCCCGGCATATGCGGCATGTGACGCAAAAGGCGTTCCATGTTGAGATTGCCGACATGGCACTTGGGGCCGGGAAAGTCAGCAAAAGAGGTTTCTACTTTTCGCTTTCGTTTCTTGCATCGCTGTGCAGAGGGCTTTCCAATATTCGAATGCTTTCTCTCGTCAACCTCGATGGTGTCTCCGGCTTTGTCTGGGGCGCTGGTCACAGTTGCTTCAGCCTTGGAGGCGTCCTTCTTGCCTCCCGGTACAGGGCGCTTCTCTTTTTCTACCAGACGACCTGTAGCATCCGTGCCGCAGAATTCCACATACGACTCGCCCTTGTATGTCCCTTCAGTCTCCACGTCAACACCTTAATTCACCGCTATGGGCTTCCCATGAACGCCCTTGTGTAGAATCTCCCAGAAGAAGCCTTCCCACACATCTGGGTTCCGTGTCCAATCCTCGTCTGCTTTCTCTTCAACAAGACTCAGTACGTCCTTGTTCACTCGCTTCCCATGAATCACAGCCTTTCGCATACGCTCACTAAACGTCATCGCCCTGCTTTCGCATGAACGTGCAACCGATGAATCCGACATACTCGCATTCAGTGCAGCCTCGTTTCCGCTGGAAGAAAAGGCACGCTTCTCAGACGTTGCTCCTGCATGGTCTGCATGACAAACCCTATTATTGTACTACCAGCCGCGTTCGTGACAACCTCAGAGGAACCCGTCGCACGCACGTAAAATGCATAATTGATAATCTTGTCGTACTTGTCCTTGAGAACAAGTATTGCGTTGATAAGCGAAGCGTGGTCTCTGATGTTCTCAGGATCCTGTACAAGGTCTGTGCCCCGCTCCAAGACTTCATCTTTTAGCTTCGTGCGCAACGTTTCATCTCCTTTCTTTATGTCACGGAACAGAGAGTACGTCAGTCGCAGATCTGCAATCTTATCGTTTCGCAGAATTCAAATCAAGCCGGAGTTCTGCATATCGACAAGACGGGTCATATACGTGGATATGAGCTCAACCTCTGCCACCTTGCGAACCCTAGAATCTGTTCGCAGTTCCAGAAGATTCAACGCCCATGTGCTTCAACGCCCATGTGCTCTTCGTGGATGCGCATATTGGCCTTTCTCAAGTAATCCGAACAAGTTGTCTCCGATAAGTACAAACGTGCCTCGCGTGCGTAAAAGCGCTTCGTGCGTTCAAGGAAATCTTCCTCAAAGACATTGACGCAGAATGACTTACCAAGCTCGTTGTTGCCCAACTCAGTCAGCATACGCGAGATGGCGCCTATCAAATGGGTATCCACTGCTTCGCCATTCCTCTCCTCATCGATAATACCGAGCAAGGTGCCCTTGAGTCGTGGGAGAATAGTAGACTCGAGAATAACGACGTCGCGAAAGAGGGACAAGCCCAGCTCATGAACAGTTTTCGTTTGCTTGCTCTTGACATAATGCCTGTCCATGTACATGAGGACGTCGCGTACATCTGCCAGGGAGAGGGAAAAACAGCCCCACTAACGTCTGATCTCCCGGGGGGAAATCCTCGGAATCTGCGTCGCTGATGAGAACGGCGACGCCTTGCAAGTGCTCTGTGAGGAGTTCAAGCAGGCCTTTGTACAGAAAATCGCCGTGCTTGTGCAGGAGCATTTTGTAGGAAAAACGGTAGAGTTGCTCGAAGGAGAGGTTAGAAATGTTGCGGATCATAATTTCGGAAATCGCGTGGCGTATGGTGCTCCAGATGTTGTCGGCAGATTGTGGATTCATTTGGACAGGTTGTGGAAACATGTTGATGACAAAGTGATCCGAGGTGGGCCTGGCCATCTTGGTGGGGTGGCACTTTGCCAGAGTGAGGATTAGCAAGGCGAAAAATTAGCCGGTAGTTGACTGCAGACGAACGCACTTCCAATAGAGTCGGACGTGTGAGCGTCGGCGCACTCTCTTGTAGAGTTAGGATGGGTCTCGTGTCTGCGAGAGGGAAAAAGAAGAGGAGTGGAGATACGGTGTTCTTAAGACCAGAAGTAGTGGAGAGCAGAGCAAGGGTCAAGGAGGGTGTATCGAAAGGGGGGAAAGGATTGACTCTGCCTTCAACTTTGTGTTAGAGGTGAGGGGGAGGTCTGTCTTCGGGGCACAGTAGAAATATAAATTACTGGGAGGGAAAATTTATGGGGAAGGGCTTCGCACCATGGATTGTGGCCTGTAAGGAAGGCGTCGACGCAGCCTGAGAGCCGGGAAGTATTGGCACGGGAGTTGGCATCGAATGCCACGAGGGGATTGCATGATTTGTCTCAGAAACTGCAGCGGCGTGGCCGACTGGCGCAGGATTTGAGGATGTGACAGGCAGTGGTCGCGCTAAGGAATATGCTGCTCCCAAATATGGACCAGATTGTATCGCCTTTCCAGAGAGCTCGACGCTCAAAGGTGACGTTGGTAGGGTTGCTAAACTCTCGGCTGGGCAGGGAGGGGAGGAGGAGGCCGGGGTGGGCTTGGCGCGCGAGAACGACGGCCTCGAGAAGGAAGTAGAGCTGGTTACCGACGTCGCAGTGCGGGATGACGACTAGGAAGGTGTTTGGACGGCGGGTGACCACGCGCGTGGGGGAAATCGTGGCCGGGTGGTGGCCGGTAGGGGATAAGGCGGCGGTGAGGTTGCGGGGGCGGGGGGTGTTGCATGGTACGCGTGGGGGGAAAGGACGCTGGAGTAGAGCAGGCCGCAGACGACGAGGATGGAGAGAATGCGGCGCACGATGGCGCGTCGCGTCTTAGTGAAACATCGAGGTCGAGGCTGAACGCGTGACCCACAGCGACGCACGCGGGAGCCCAGCCTGCGTCCAGTGTGGTAGCCTTGTGTAGAAACCGGCGCGCGACCTTGGTCTTGCCGCACGCAAGTAGTATTAGCTGACGGCCATCCAGCTGACGGCGCTCTTCGGATCGCGGTCCACCAGCGAGTGGGCTTCTTGCAGACGATGAATAACGGCACCCGACTTGCGAAATTCGACGAGCAATGGCGAGATGAGGGAATGCCACTCCGGCGGCACTCCGCATGAACTACGGCGGGGGATGCTACTGCAGTGGCACTCCGCATGTGATACGACAGCACTGCACGTTTGACCCAGAGTTCCGCCTTGCTGTACCTACTGTTACATACACACTACGTAAATACTACGATTGTACCCCTAGTCCTCCGATCACACTGCGGGTAGCCTACGAACGCCAACAGTATGGTTGCTAGTGATCACCGCCTACTATCTACATCACTGCAAACTACCAACCTCCAAACACCCTCCGCCCGATCCCGCCACCGACCTACACCGCTCGTCCCCAACATGAAATGTGATGATAATGCATCATCGATGCCATCTCCTTCGCCGGCTCCCTCTGTTCGACAGTATCATTCTCATGACGACATTCTTGTCTTTCATACCGCCGCTGCACAATAGTAAACACCAGATATCCAGAGCTCACGTCAGCCCTCTCGATTTCTCATCATTCTGTTCTTTCTTGTACTTCAGTTCCGGGTATGGTTCAATACCCATGTCCATGCCGTCCATATCGCTCTCCCTTTCCCTCCACTTCGCAGCCGAGTCTTCGAATTGCAATCGACAAAATGTACGAAGTGCATTTTAATTATGTCCCTGTCCACGGCGCCCGCGCAAAACGCGATTGCGACCATCTCCGGAGGTCCATTGCGAGATCAGTAGCCGATCTGAGCGCGAAAAGTCGTCAACAAAGTAACAACGTTTACGGCCTCTTCTCGCAGTTGACCGGCTTGCGCTGGCGCCCCTGTACTCTCCCCGTGTCGGTACAAAGTGATCTACCACGCTAATCAGCCGCTGGACGATACAAATGTCTTCAACAGTAACCGCGGAGAAGGCGTGTTCCGATTCACAATTTTTGTGGACTTGGCGCTGTTCCCCGACTTCCAATCCAGAAGCCCATTCCAGGAGAGCTATTTGGTACTTCGTTTGCCAGTGTGGCCACCTTTTCGAAAAGTTCAGATCAACTTCAAACTCCACGAGTGTAAGAACCCTTCCGTAGTACACCGCCAACATTCCCCCAACCTCCATCTCGCATGCGACATGCCAACTTGCTCTTATTCGCGAACTGCCGTCGGACCCATTCCAATCACGCAAGCAATAATAGGAGGAAGCCGTCTGCGTGTCCGACCCGCATAGGAAGCGTACACGCGGCTGGACAACACAATTGTCCACCCCATCTAAAATAGCTTGGGCCTCATTCCCTGTCATCCCGTCATACTTGCGCAAGAGGTAACTCTTCAGACGAGCAAGAAACTGAACATCAGCGCTATTTTCATAAGACAGCCAGCGCCTGTATCCTTTGCCCTGCATCTGGAATCCTCCTTCCTCAACCACCTCCTCGTACGCGGCGACGTTGGACGCAAACGGTTCAGAATAGTACATTTTGTACGACTCTCCAAATAGTGCGCTCTTGAAGAGGGACGCTGATGCGAGGTTCTTCGCTCTGAGTCTCCCAACAATCCAACCGATATACCTCTCCGTCCAATATTGGGAGTACCCCACTGGGGGTCCGCTCTCCCGAATGCCTTCTTCGAGGTGCAAGATCAGGTGAAACACGTACTTGCACATGTTCATTCGGGCCACGTCATACTTGTAGTAGTGCTCCTCGTAGTGCCGGTAGAAGTCGCGCGCGAGTCGGCCAACCTCAGAAATGTCCTCTTCTGTCAGGACTGGCCTCCAACAAAGATCCACTAGTTCAACGAACAGTGCCCATCCTGATAGGTATGTCTGTGGTAGGTACCCGTCTAAAACAATCAAGCTGTAGCGCAGTACAAAGTCCTTCAGCTCCGCAGACTTCCAGTCTTTGAATCTTGTAATCGGTCTTGGGCGTGCCCCAACCTCGCTCGCAATACCATCCCCAAACTTCCGCAACTCAGCGTCGATATCTCGCATTGCAGCCCGTCCCAGCACATAGTCATCACCTCCATCGCCGCACCAAAGTCGCAACATGTCCTTACTGATGTTGTAGAAGAGGTGCATAACATCGATCGGGAAGGACACATACGGCAACAAGTTTGGTAGTCGAAAGAGATTTGACCCTTCTGATATTCCTGCCGAGACTTGGAGCTCTGCTTCCCGCTGTCCGAAGAGCTAGGACAGCTTCTCAATTGTTGCTGTAGATTCTTCAACCGTGCGCAGTGGAAGAAACTCCACATCATGGCGTTCTGATACGTTAACCCCATCTCGAACCTTAATTGGGTAGTAGTTGTGGCGATTCTCTGGGCACCATATACCCTCAATTGTACAAAAGCGACACGGCAACTTCCCGTTGTGGCCCTTTACGCCAGATAACTTTTTGACCGCTGGGAGATCACCCGTAACCCACAAAATGTGCACTCGCACCTTCCGTTCAACGCCATCATAGAATTGAAACATACAGCCCCCATCAGCGTTGAGATCCTCGATCTCCTTCAGCAGAGGCTCCATGAAAGATTGTAAATTGCTTGGCTCGGAGGGGCCAGGGACAAAGGCAAAGGGGAGAACGTTCTTGACACTGAATCGTAGATGCGAAGCCAAGTTGCACACGATGGCCGCAATGGGCCAGACATCATAGGACTTGTTCCTAAACGCTTGGAACCCGTCAGTTGAAACTGCTAGAAATATATCGTCTTGCACATTGTCCTCTCCGCCATAAATATTGCATATCCGCTGGTACGCCTTTGTGTCGAAGAAGTCTCTCGATCGTCCATCATCATTGTATTCCTTCGAGCTCATGTACCCGTACAGTTGGTCACAGCGCTGCTTATCGAGAAACCAGTCTTGCAGTCGTGGTTTTAGAGTCATCCATTCCATACCAGATACACGTTTGGCGTTGAGATCCGGCTTCCCTAAACCACATACATTACAGCTCTGAATGCTTTCCTCGAAGAAGCACATGTGCCCTGGACACACTGCATACTTCTTGACGCCGTCCGACATACCCGAGTCCTTCTTGAGGTGTGCAGCAATCGTTTTCCATGTTTTGTATGGCGCGTGGATGAGGCTGAGGGTGTCCTCCATAACACTTTGGGTCAAGCCGTGTTTGTAGAATAAGTCAATCCATCCGCGGCACTTTGTTGCCCATAACCTAAACGCAGACTGCTCCGATTCTGGAATGTCTATCGGTACGTCCAAATCGTCCATGTTACTCGATTCTGTCTCAGACATCGCACTGTCAAAATGCTCGAGATTCGAATCTCCAATGTCGAAAGGACTACCACCTATGTCCTCATCCTCCCCTTCATCTTCCAAACTCCATCCATCGTCAAACGCAGGTCCCGTATCACTAATAGGTTCAGCAATACTAATATGTCCGGATACTTGCTGCGTTGCATCGCCAGAGACATGTGCTTCGTTACCAGGCGGTTCCCAACTTCCAGGTTCGTGTTCTACGGGCACGTCAGGCTCCACCAGTGCATCAACCGCCAAAGGGGTCGGGGCCTCCTCAGGTCCGCTGTGCCCTCCGATTGCATCTGAAATCGGGGATTCGTCCTCGACAAATTCATGCGGCCCATCCAAACTCATTTCGCTGGGTGTATGTCCAGAGACACTTTCAGACACGGCCATATCGTTGCTGGCGTGGAGGGGTACAGGGCCTCCGCCGCCAGCTCCTTGCGACGCATTTGACAATAAACTTTGCGCTATTGCCTCATACCGCGCACGCACTTCTCCGTTGTCTTCCTCCCGTGGTCCCCATGGTAGAATAATATCCCGTCCCTCTGTGGCTAGCCGCTTATTTGCATATCGGCGATGTTGTAGCATTGTTGTGCGTCCTACTCCTCTCCCCGGCGGATAGCAGCGACATTTATACTCCGGTAAGCAGACAAACGTTTTCCCCATCTTCGAATTCACACTTCCAAAAACCACGCGACCTAAAACGTCTATCCGACGTTCTTATCCCAGGGCAAGCCGCTCAAGAGACCGTATGCAAATTAGCCGTAACAATTCTCCACAGAAATTTGCCTGCGGTCAGTGCGGTGGCATGCCTTAGAATGGATCCAGAGGTAGAATTTTACCCGAGTTCACACGTATGCAGATCGCGGAGGCGAAGAAGACATCAGAACTTCCCAGAGAAAAAGTCTCGCAACATGTAGAATGTCATATGCATAGCACCATGGCTGCCAAGACCCCAAAAGACACATTGTTCCATGGTTTCTTGCCGCTCACTCATGGCAGAGTGGTACTGTGTCCTCCACTCACTTCGTAAAAAACGCGGCGAAGGCGACGAAGCGCAAATCGTATTGCGTTCTGCAATGCGACTACCGTATCGGCGCGAAACGGTCCCCGACTCCGAAACTCTCAACAATGACGCATCACAATCAGCCATAAAAAGACAACTTCCCGTCTCCTCGTTTCTTTCACTCTTCGAATCGCAGTTCTATTTCCCCGTAATCCCGTACGCCCCAATCCGTCCGAACGTGATGCCGGCAACCACATCCTTCGAGCGCATGCTTGAGCGTTTCATGGAACAGCTCTTCTGCAGATGGTCGAAAGACCTTTCTAAGATTCACAAGCGATTGGACGCTCTACATCCCAGTACCACCCTGCCCCCGATCCCAAGCGCAAAGCGCGGCGAAGTCGGCTTCAAGCGGGAGGTCAATGTAACGCTGGTCCTGGGTGATGCGATCGATAAGGAAAACGCAACAATTCCTGACGGACAAGAAAAATACATTCAATTCCCAGAAGGTTACGCTGACAAAAAGTTGAACACAGACGCAAAAGATGCACTTGATCTTCTCATGCTGCAGAACATAGGCGATGATTACGGGAGACTCAATTGGAAGTCCGCCTCACGCACCACCCACCGTGAACAGTGCGAAGCTGTAATTCGCCTGGCGACTTCGTTGTATTCCGGCAGACGGCCTTCTACTGGGCGATTAGAGACCTTGCTGACCAGAAAATGAAGTCCAAGGATCGCCGGAACCCAAGCGCAATTGATGGAAATGTATCGGCTAACGATGAGCCCGCACATGCAGCGCCTCCTGTCAAACGCGCAAGAATTGACGAGAGGGCGTCTGCAGCACCACTGCAGAATGTCGATCCGAACATCCCCAAGTCCACGACTACCCCTGCGACGGCTTCGCAGGGTATAGGTCGTGGAAGTGGACGTGGGCGTGCAAGTCGTGCTGGACGTGGACGAGGGCTCGGACGTGGGAGTGGGCGTGGTCGTGGACGTGGGCGTGGGAAAGCCTCCACCGTTGCCTGAACTTCTGAGCAAAAGTCTTCGAACAGCGGGGAGGAGTGAGTGGTGCGGATAGCCAGGCGGTAGGGAGGATGGTGGTTTGGGTCGCACCGAGGAGGAGTGAAGAGTTCGTGCGGAGGGCGTGAAATTTCATGACCAGCACATGTATGACGTCAATTTTCAACCGTGGGACGATTTATCACAAGCGCCCACGTTTCAAAAAATGGAGGAAGAGCCGAGTAGACTCTTGAGGCTAGCACGCTACCCGCGATACCCGCGAGTTTTTGGCTACATACTGCAAATTTATGTACCGTCAGATCTTCTGCTCGCTCTGCTACTGTACCGTTACGTACGAAGTGGCCGTATATTATTGTTTTCTCGATGTTTCCGCTCCTCGCCGCGGCCCGCGCAGCACGCGGTGGCGACCACCGACCAACGTTTGCTGCTAGTGTCCCACTCTTTCGCCAAGGCACGAAGCTCTTGGGGCTTCATACCGCCGCCATTCAAGTATCACTCATCTCCACATCCCCAACCGCTTTAACCCCATCTACTGCCACCGCTAGGCTCATGCCACCCATCACCTCCGCGTTCCTCTTCCCCTCCTCCCCCCCGAACGGGCAGAAAACATAATGGCTCGTCGCAACGTCAAACTCAACGCACCCCTTCCCCCCGCTTCGGACCATGTCTTCCGGCATGAGCAACACGCTGCGCCCATACCAATCGCAGTACAAATCCAGATCCTCCTCGCTGCCTCGTGCCTTCCAGTTGTAGCACGCCAGTCGCCCGTACTTGTCGGCAGCCGAGGGACCCTTCGACGAAAGACCTCAGTCGGCCTGCGTAACATCTCCTTCCATGTTGCTCCAGGGAGAATGGTTGCGTTCGTTGGAGCTTCTGGAGCGGGCAAGAGGTAAGTTTTGAATTACTGTCTGGGGGGCGGTTTTGTGAAGGCTGTGGATGGTGTGGGAGACGCAAAAGTTGTCTTTGCAATTGCGGAGAAGCTAACATTCTTCTTGTACACGATTATATTTTTGTCGCCATTTGCGTGCTGCAGCACAATCATTCGGCTGTTGCTGAGATTCTATGATGTCGATAGCGAGTCAGTGCTGATCGATGGCGAGAATGTGAAGAACTGTTCTCAGGAGTCTACGCAAGCAAATTGGAGTTGTCGCCCAAGATACGGTACGAAATTCTATCGCTCATGAGTGGAGACAAATGCGAGCGAACGAGGTGCCCTTCCATGTCCTGTAATACTAACAATGTGGGCTTTTCTTTTTTTCTTCTCGGCGCCTCTGACAATTACATTCAGATCTTGTTCAACCGATCTCTGCGATTCAATATTTCATACGGCAAACCGGATGCATGTGATGCTGAAATTTATGACGCTGCACGTTCGGCTGCTTTGTGAGACTTCGTTGATTCTCTCCCGCTGAAGCTAGACACCCTTGTCCGAGAGCGGGGAGTGCGCCTATCAGGAGGGGAACGACAGCGCGTAGGGTGCGCCAGGTGTCTGGTCAAGGGACCAGCTATTGTTCTGCTTGACGAGGCGTCGTCATCATTGGTAAGTGCTGAGCACTGTTCTGAAAGAAATTTTTGTGGCACTTTGGCTATACGCGACACGCTGTGCAAGATCTCTGACCTCATTCTCAATCCACACCCCTCATCACCGCCCCAATGCACAGGACACGCAAACGGAAAGAGAAATGCAAGCAAACCTGCGGGAAGTATGCAAGAACCGAACCACGATCGTGATTGCACATCGACTGTCCACAATCATGATTGCGGACGAGATCATTGTCCTTGGCACAGATGGCGCAGAAGAGGGCCTTGGTACCGTTGTCGAGAGAAGGGCCCATGCTGAGTTGATACGGCAGAAGGGGTCATACGCCCAAATGTGGGACTTGCAGACGTCGTTCGATAACGGCGAGTTTTCAGAAGCATCCGAAGTCAAGGATTCGAAGAAGTAAGTTGCCCTCGAAAGCGGCGCGACTTTGCTCCATAAATACAGTTGTGGAATGCCAGAACCCCATATTTGTGCACATGCATGCCATCGCCTGTCGAGCAGCAGTCCTGCCGACAACACACAGGGCTAGAGCATATTGCGAAGTGCCTGCACCATGAAGTGAAGACTGTATTTTGAAATTAATAGTAACTGGCTTCTTCTAATAGGTACTTTGCTAGTCGTACTTCAATGTTATCCGCGTATGCACCTAGAAAGGTCGCCTCTTAAGCAGTAAAGCAGTACAATGTTGAAAAGATATTTGTGCGAATGATAGAAATACGGAGAAGGGTATATAGGAAGAATGTAGTAAGCCAGAGAATAGACGCGCCCAAATTCTCGTAAAGCTTGACGGAAATCTCGCATACTCCTGGTCGCACTAATACAGCTTCGATACAACATTTCTCGTACCTTCACATCAAGCCCGAGCGATGGTACACCTTCTTCTTCAAAGGCTACTGTGACAGTTTACGCACTTGAAGCGCATCGGTTCCTCTGACCTCTGGCCCTCTACACAGCTCATCAACCAGAGCAAGAAGTGCAAGCAGCAAAGTGGTACTGCTTTGCTGCACGTGACTTGCCCACCATCTTCTCGTCTCCACGAATACCAAGTTGACCGCCGAGCTCCAAATTCCACCCCTCGCCTCCAAACTCCACCTAAACTATGGACTTGGACGCAAGTTGCGTGCAGAGTGAGTGCACTACGAAATGCGGAGCAGCATGCAATGCACATTGCACTCACCTCGCACTCCAGGTTACATAGCATTTTCGGAGGGCGGTATGAGTGCAGGACTATCATACACTCATGCCGCCCTCTGGGTGCACTCCAAGTGCCACCAATAGGAAGTTGTGTGGCCAACAGCGGCAACAATTCGCGTTCACAGTGCACTCAAATATGCTAAAAATCTCAAATTGCACTGTAGGTGCACTCAAAAAATTTAATTTTTTTCTTCTAGGGTCCGCGGAACAGCTGGGTGCGTTCGCGCGCCTCTCCGCCGAGCTCAATGCTACGCGTCAGCGTGCCCATGCCATGGAACGGACAATGGCCGCAAAACTACCCGGTGCCGTCATGAGAGGGCCGGGTGGTACCGTACATCCGAGCGCTGCCGCTCTGGAAGGTTGGCGTCAGACTGGTGTCGACACCAGTCGGACTGCGGAAGGAAACTGTCCCCCGATGGAAGCGAATTTCGCGTCCAAGACCTAAGCATTGCTGCCTATCCCCGGAAGTAGGCGGCCAATGGAACGCGTATCGTACGCGCACGAACAGGTCCGTGGAGGAGCCGCCCCCGGATCCGGAGAACCCATGTTCTCCGGCGATCCTCGCTGGGGCGGCTACCAGCCAGCGAGTTACACAGCGCATTCAGGTCCGGTAGAAGTCCGTACGCTACCCCTCACCCCTTTGGGCACGCTAGGTCCCGCCGAACCTACGCTCGATCGGGTGCATACGATGATTCAAGAGTTCAGTGCCGTCGCTGACTATCGTATGTACTTCTTAGATAACACCTCCACGCTCGTTATCACGGGTGACGCGGGACGGATCGCGAAGTATGTCCAACGCTGTGGTGGGATCCGTCCTACGATCCGTAGCTTTGACGTTACGGACCCGATCCATCTGCTGCCGTTCTTGAAGGATATCTGGATAACTTTCAACTCGCAACACTTGACCGCAGGTGTTGCTGTGCGAGTCCTCTCTAACTGTTTTGGAGCGGGACGCGGAGCGCCTGTATAGGAGTTATACGATGCATGGTCTCCGCGCCGGTCAGCTCCACGCCGACGTGAGCTGGCCGGAGCTCGTAAACTAATTCTTGAACGCTACCACACGGAGGACGTGTTAGGTAAAGCGTACGACTTTGTCGCTACGGCGCGACAGCAACCTCACGAAACAGAGAGCACGTTTGCGGACCGGCTGGAAACTGCCGCGTTCCGGTGCACAGCAGTGTTCTCCGAACAGTCCCTCGCGCACTACTTCGTGCGGGACTCGCTCCTGCGACCCGTGCCGCAGTCTCCGAGATCTTTCAAAGGCTACCAAGCAACCACAACACCGACCATCTGACCATCCTGTGGTATAAACACCCCCAACGGAGGGGGGTGTATACTCAGTACTTGCCGAGACCCCATGGGCGGTAAGACGGAAACACGGCCCACCCGCGGAACAGAGCACGGGCTCGAGGTAGCGGTGGTAGAGCAGAGTCGGGGAGGACGCGTGCACGCGCGAGCGGTTCGACGCCTCGACGCCCCGGAGAGGTACTGGGTAACGATCCAGTACCGACAGCCGGAGGCGAATCCGGGTCTTGGGCGTGCTGAGCGCGTCATCAACCCGCATGCGGTACCGTACTAAGGTACCTAACGGAAGTTGCCTTAGAATAAGCAGGCAGGACCAAGGTGGAGGTTCCTTGACAAATCCGTGCTTGTCGTCCCCCTCAGCCGTCGGTCTGCTCGTATTTAATATACAAACAATTTATCATAACAATACAGTACTGAGGTACTGTAGTGGACTACCGTAGTGCCGGTCGACCTTCACTGTAACGTTGCCAGCCGTCGGGGCTAACAGTACACGTGTGCGCGGATGTATGCGCGCACCCGTACATGTCGGTACACGTGGACACGCGTGGTAGTACTGTAGAGCGTCGGGCTTCACAGTAGCTAATCTAATCTTGATTTAATCTAAATTGAATTCCCCAGAGGGGGTGGTTATACTCATCCGCCGAATCGCAACGGCGGAGGGGACGACGTACCGTGCTCGGCGTGGTCTGCCTCTGCCGGATCCGAAGCAAGCAGGGAGGATGGGGCGGACTCCGAAGTCCGCTGCAACAAATTCGGTCGCCTCGGCCCTCCATGTCGGGAAGAATGAGTAGCAGGCTGACCCTGTCTTTATCACACAAGGAGCAGGACCTGTGGGACGACGACCCCCCACGCCGATGTCGTCCGGAACGACATCGAGCTACGCGACTGCATTCGCACACACTCCGAGAGTGGCGAGGGGTATGGACCCCCGGGTCGCAGAGCTTGACATCTTGAACCGAGATACAGGAGACTAAGCCCCTCGCGTGCCCCTCCTCACAGATGAGGAGGCGCGCCACGCGGCGACCTTCGCCTCAACGGACGGCAGCGCGTACCTTTGCTGGCTGTGGCGTACGTACAGACACCCCATGTACACTTGCCCTTTCCTGTCGCGGAAACAACGTATGTTCGCGGCTTACAGGAACCACCGCTACCAGCTAGAGACGCCCCTCGGTGCGCGTAATCTCCTCCTGCAGTCGGTCGGCCAGGGCCGTCCCCCGCGTCAAGGTTTCCGAATCGTTCGGGTGCGGGCGCACTCTTTGCCCCACGGGGAGGTGGTTGTCGTCGTAACGAATTCGATCCTCGTTATCGACCCGATTACCGCCAGGCGGACACAAGGTATCCCCGTCAAGGAGGGGTAGGGGATCGAGACCGTTCTCGGCTACCTCAACAGGTGCGAAATGCGATCATGTACCTGCAAGACTGGGTAGAAGATCCGCATCCTGTAGTGCAATACAGGGGGGTGAACGGAAAGGAATTTTATAAGGGATGAAAAATAGTCCGGGTTGGGGGGCACACGTGTGAATAATTGCACAGTTTCAATTTTTAATTATTTTATTTTATTTAATTAATTAGCTACCATTAATTTGGCTGACATTAGATTAGATTTAGGATCTAGCGCTGCGAGCTACTGTAGTAGCTCCGGCAGGGCGATATATACCCAAGCCCATTGACCACCATGTCAATAAAGGGAACCGAGTTGCCGGAAGTTGTATTTCGCCTTCGTCGGAGACCGCATCAATCTAGAGAAGCGCTTCCCTTCTACGTCGATAACGTTCTCCTTCTGCACTCTGGGTTCCCTTTCCTTTTCCATTTTCCTTTATTTCCCCATCCTTTCTATCTCCGCTTCTATCTATTTCCCTTATCTTGTGCTGGTACCATCGGTATTGGTTGCGACCGAACCGGTGTTGGTGTCCATGCCATGGAGCGACACGTTGACGTAGCGCTGCTACTTTGTTCTCATTCCGACGGAGACTGTTGCGACGACGTCTCCCTCGAAGGGTTTTACGTGTGTATAAGTCAGTGTTTGTGCCATCGGCTTTGGGTGCGACCGGACCGGTGAAGGTGCTTCGAGCCATTGGGCGACACATTGGTGTAGCGCTGCTACTTTCATTTCATTCCGTCGAGTTGCGTTGCGACGCCCCCGTTGAAGACCTTGTCGCGATTCAAGGTTTCGAAGAAGGTCAATGAGCATCGGCCTTGAAACCCAGTGGAACCGGAGTTCCTTCGTACACGCCCCACCCCACAGTCGTCGAGCAACTTCGTAAGTCTCTACTACATCGATCCTGGGCCGAGCCTTTTCTCTCTG